TCAAGCCCTGGAGAGAGCATCTGCAATAATATTTTCTTTCCCTTTTATATGAGTAATTTTAACATTATATGGCTGTAGTTCCAAAGCCCATCTTAGAACTCTCACATTCTTGAATTTTACACTTTCAATAAACCGAAGTGGATTATGATCTGTGAATATTTCAATAGCATACCTGGTGCTTAATAAGTAAACTTTAAACTTTTCCAATGCTACTATTAAACCTAAAGCCTCCTTTTCAACGGTGGCATAGGATTTTTGATACGGCTTATATTTAAATGACATGTAGCACACAGGGTGTAAAACTTCACTGGGGCCAGGTTGAAGCAATACTGCTCCAATACCTGCATCACTGGCATCCACGTGAATACTAAACGGTTTATTCATGTCAGGGGCTTGCAGCACTGGAGCATTTGTCAGCATGTTTTTCAAATTTTCAAACGCTGTTTGACATTCCGGCGACCACTTAAATGTCCTCTTAGTACTGAGCAAGTCCGTAAGGGGAGTTGAAACTTGGGCAAAATTCTTGCAGAATCTTCTGTAATACCCAGCCAGGCCGATAAATCGCATCAGACTTTTGCGTGTAGAGGGAGTTGGATATTGCTGAACAGCCTCAATCTTCGCTGCAACAGGGGCTAATTGGCCCTGGCCCACCACGTGGCCCAGGAAGATGACATGGGCATGGCCAAACTCACTCTTCATGAGGTTAACAGTGAGGTTAGCTTCAGCGAGAGTGGAGAACAAGGCACGAAGTCGAATCAAGTGATCTTCCCAAGATGAACTCCAGACCACCAGGTCGTCAAGGTAACATCTTACACCCTCCAAACCAGCAGTTAGGAAGTTCATCAGCCGCTGGAAGGTTGCAGGGGCGTTCCGCATTCCAAACGGGAGGACGGTGAATTCATAAAGTCCTGTGGGTGTGACAAAGGCAGATATAGGTTTGGCTCTCTCACTGAGGGGCACCTGGTAGTAACCCTGTAAAAGGTCAAGCTTGGAGAGATACTTCGCCTTCCCGAGGTCGTCTATTATATCGTCCATCCTCGGAAGAGGGTAGGAATCAGGGACTGTTACTGCATTAACTTTTCGGTAATCAATACATAGACGAAATGGCCCACCTGTTTTCGGAACTAGAACAACTGGAGATGCCCATGGACTTAAGCTTGGACGAATCAGACCCTGGTCTTGGAGGCGTCGAACTTCAGACGAAAGGAACTTTTTCTTGTCGCCACCGAGACGATACGGTGCTTGTCGAATGGGCTGTGCATCTGTTGTGTCTATGTCATGCTCCAAAAGTGTACACAGTCGGGGAGTATCACTGAAGAGATCACGATGTTCCTGGAGAAGGGAGATAATGTTGGCCGCTTCGGCTGCTGTTAGGTGAACTAGTTTATGCTCAGGGTTATCTAGAATTATAGAGTTTGAGAGGTTAGGCACCACTATAGAAACTTCACATTCTTTGTCACTATTTCCTTCACTGATATTACAAGTGTTAGATACTATGAGTGCGATGACCTTTGCTTTGTCTACATCATTTCCAGTATCTTCACGAGAATGGTACTTTTTTAAGAGATTAACATGCACTAGACGCTTTTTCTTTCGCCTTTCAGGAGTTTCAATGACATAGTTTACCTCACTAGTACGTTTTAATACACGAAAGGGACCGTGGTATTTTGAGCAAAGAGGCTGCTTGTGAATGGGAAGTAAAGCCAAAACTAGTTCTCCCTCCTTAAATGTTCTAACCTCAGCCTTTTTAGTCTTGTCAAATGTCTCTTTCATCCTACTTTGCACATTACCCAAATGTTTATGTGCAATAGATATAGCAGTTTTAAGTTTACACTTGAGGTTTTCTACATACACAGATACAGGTACTACTACCTCTTCATTGAGCCAACACTCTTTCAACACTTTAAGGGGCCCTCGGACCTCGTGGCCATAAATGAGCTGAAAAGGTGAAAAACCTAGGCTCTCCTGAACACTTTCCCTGACAGAAAATAGTAACAAATCGATAACTTCATCCCATTCTGACCCTGCTTCGAGACAAAAGGACTTTATCATTGTCTTAAGGGTGTAGTGGAATCGCTCCACCACCCCCTGTGACTCTGGATGAAAAGCAGTTGACTTATACTGTGTGATACCCAAAGAACGCATTCCCTGTTGAAACAGAACTGAGGTAAAATTCGAACCCTGATCTGACTGAATTGAAGAAGGTAGACCCACTTGAGTAAAGAACTTTACTAGTACTCTGACTACATTTTTACTTGTTATTCGTCTGAGAGGCACTGCTTCAGGGTAACGAGTAGCTCTATCAATAATAGTGAGGAGAAACTGATTACCACGCTTTGTTTTCGGCAGAGGGCCAACACAATCGATTACTATTTTACTGAAAGGTTCATCTACTGCAGGAATTGGGTGTAAGGGATATGGCTTCACCGAGGTACCTGGCTTCCCCTTAACTTGGCAAATGTGACATGTCTGGCAGTGTTTACCAACATCCTTTTTAAGTTTTGGCCCAAAGAAATGAGCTAGAACTTTGAGATATGTCTTAGTGACACCTAAATGACCACATAAATCATGAGCAAAATATAGTATTTCAGAACGTAGTGATTGTGGAACTACTATCTGATGGACATTGTTCCAAATTTCATCTGATGGAACATTTAAGTTCCTGAATTTACGCATTAAAACTCCCGACTTCAGGTAGAAACAATTCCCAAAATTATCGATCTCATTTTCATCCACTAAATCATCATAAAACTTTGCTAAATCTGGATCATTATTTTGTTCTGCTATAAGTACATCCCTAGTCACAGGTTTACCGTTCAAAGGAATGATCCCCTCAGAATTAGCAGGCATCACTAATTTATCAGCATCCTTAAAGAAATCCTTCAGAGTGAAGTCTCCTAAAACGTCACTCTCACTAGCATGAGATTCTGCAGCTTTTGAGTTTGTGACTATTTTACTCATGCTACGTGTGATCGCACACGCAGGGAAAAGCTGTGGATACTTTAGTTCCAGTTCTTTGGTATTATTCTCCTTCGGGGGACAGGATGTAACTACTGGGCAGGGCCACATTCTACCACCTGCAAGATCATTCCCAATTATTACAGATATGCCCTTAGCAGGAATGTAATCTACTACCCCCAGTCTTACTGGACCGTTCATAAAATCTGACCTGAGATATACCATACAGAGAGGTAAGCCAGCTATCCCCGTGAAGCCATCCACCAGAACTTTCTCACCAGTATAACACACTGGACTTGGAACATCATGCTTGCAAATCAATGAAAGTTCTGCACCCGAATCCCGCAAGATACTGACAGGACGCAAAGGCTCCTCAGCTCCGACCATACCAATAAAACCTGTGGAACGGAAGGGAAGGAATGAAGGATTTACTTCATGAATCTTCTGCTTAGGTTGATTAATGGAATTAGTTTCATCAGAGTTACCTTGAAAATCTTTAGGGATTGTTATGGATTCAGTGTTCATGCTAATATGCATTACAGGTTTAGCATCATCTGAACGCTTACGAATTAATTTAATGCAGTCAGAAATCGAGTGGCCTACCTTCTTGCAATAACGACAGAAAAGTATTTTTTCAGCTTTACCATCAGGTCCGTCATTAGGTTGACCGAGGTTTACAGGGGGAGAGGGAACTCGGGCATAAGACGTCTCAGTCACACCCCGTTCTGATTTCACAGCCCTTGGAGGAGCATGTCTGGAAGGGTTAGGATGGGGTATCGACTCTCGTGATCTGTAATTAATTTGAGGATTAGTCAGGGAAAAGTTATCAGCAGCCATACCAACTTCTGACAGAGTAGTTAATCCTCGCTCTTCTATATGGCTACGAACTCTTAATGGCATACAATTTTTTACTTCTTCGAGTATGAACAACTCTATTAATTGTTCATATTCGCGGGATGAAAGTTGACTTTCAACCCATTTACGGCACAACAGGTCTTTGCGTCTTATAAACTCTACATATGTTTGGCCAGCAATTTTGCGGCTGTTACGAAACTCTTGCCTATATGCTTCTGGCACTTTTTTATACACACTTAAAATTGCCTGCTTTACAACATTATAGTTTTGGGATTGTGCAAGATCAAGCGCCGAAAATACCTCCTGGGCTCTACCTATAAAAGCGCTATCAATCAGTAAGACCCATTTATCCTGGGGCCACATATGCAACTGAGCAATACGCTCAAAATGAGCGAAAAAATACTCCGGCTCCTGCTCACTGAATCGAGGAACAAATCGCACGGCCTCTTTCAGCTGAAACCGCGAGTCGCACGAATCATGTTCTGAGCGTTGCACGAGGCGCATGCGCTCGTTTTCCGCTCTTAACTTTTCCACCTCGACCTTCTGAAATTCAAGGTCGATTTGACGACGTTTCATCGTCGCATCAGGAAAATTATCTTCCACGTCCTCTCTAGTGAGCACATTAAGCATCACCAAGTGGTCAAGCACTATTTCACGGATTACATCTTTCCGTAATGAGGATCGAATGGGAATTTCATAATGGGCTGCCAACTCACACCACTGCGCTTTCTTTAAAGGCACCAGTAAATCCGCAGATGGATTAACAACAAAATTCTCGACAGAAAAAACCATTTTGTAACAGAAGAAAACATGCGAAGTTAAGCTAGCTAAGCTAGATAGAATATTAAACGAATACTCAAAAATCAATTGTATATCTCTACTTGCAAATAGTACAATGATCACAGCCACTAATCAGAAGTTACAAAATCAACCAATTAAATACGCACTAACATACCAGGGGAAACGCACATTCCAAATGTTTTATATTTAACATACCAAACGGAATGCACATTGCAAATGGCAAGGAACATACGTTGCAAGTGGTTGGATAAGAAAAAAGAAGTATGTTACCTATAAATTTAGTCGTAAGACAAACTATTAATTCGTTACAAATGGCAATTAAATACCAAGGGGAACGTATGTTGCAAATGGCAATATGTAATAAACCAATGGGAACATACATTGCA